ACAGTAAGCCCTATAGCAATCTTTTGAGAAATTATTTGTATTCCTCAGAGCTAGCCCGCTATTTTTCATCCCTGTGCCACTAACCACCCCCAGTTCTTCCAGTCTCCCCACAGACTATAGTTCTGAGGTTAAACAAGTAAGCACAATACAAAGTGCATCAAAACCCAACACAGCAAGTACAGTTCCGGTGTCTTCAGTGAGTCCCGTGGGATCAGTGGGCACGGAGCTCCATTGGCTGGCTTCCGCCTCCCTACTGCTTGAGACTCAACCACCTTGAGCATAATGTTATATCATTTATCTAAATTGCAAGAGACGAACAAGCAATAATGAGTACACAGTTACACAATAAAATATATTTTTATTCAAACTAGATAAAATTGAGACATATCATAATCTCAACTCTATTACAGTACAATTTCTTTCCACAATGCAAAAGTAATTGTTTTACAGTTAGCTTTTAATCCAACCCCTGCAAATAAAAAACTAGGACAAGCTAAAATTTAAAGTAGAACATTAGCTAAAACTTATGTTGCTGTCAAAACAAACATCATGTGAAATAACTACCTAAGAATTTGAACATAATAGAAAAATCAAGGTCCTAACCAAGGCCAGTATCCAAAGATGCTTGCAAAGGGTATCCCATGGTGTAATAAAAATATTATTCAGGATTTTTTTCTTTAATGACTTGAGTTTCTGCTTCACACTGGCCTTCTATTACTAAAAACAAATGTGTGTGAAATGATAACCAGCCAATAGTAGACATCAGGTTTGTATATTATACAAAACAAATTTTAAAAAAACTTGTCTGTTTTATTTCCTTGTTTTAAACAAAAAGTACGAGGGGAATGAAAGGTGATTGCTTATAGGAGTGCAAATCAGGTTATTTCAGACTAAACTTCTTAGACTAAAGTTTGTTATGGAAAAGATGAACAGTTTTTAATGAATGTGTGCATTGGTAAGATGATATGTAGCTGAAAAGTATTGTTTCTAGTAGCTAAAACAGTTTTTTTGCTGACCTCCAGTGGTTGAAGTTATCAACTTACAAATGTAAAACACTCTCCTAGTATCCATAAACAAGGAGAGTTTTGGGAGTTAAAGATGTGCAATAAAAAGATCATTAAAAAAAGAGAAACTGATCAAGAAAAATCAAGAACTAAAAAAAGGAAAGCAAGTAAACTTCAATAGGCAGTAAAGATTTTAGTAACAATTTGAGCTAGATAAAATGTAAGCGCTAGTTTGTGATTGGTTACCAAGGCCTTTACAGTTTCACTTTCAGTTTTTCTCCAATTAATGACTGAAGTGAGAATATGTTTTTTTCCCCTTCCTTAATAGCATTGTTTTATAGTTTTTAACAACTCATGGCGACTGATAATGATCCCTACTGGCCCTAGCAACACTGACTCACACTTTATTTAGCAACTTTTAGAGGCCTATGTTCTTTTCAACAATTAGATGGAAACAAAGCTACAGCAGGGTCTAGGTAAAAGTGCAACTTCAGACCTCACTCTAAAAAGCTAAAGGTGAAACTTGCAATCAGGGGGGTCAGTGAGACAATACTTTTCAGTTTCGGATTTGATAAGGAAAGATATAAATATTAATTATACCAAGAGACAAGCTAATTTTTTTTACATTATTTTTTATCATCTGCATTATTGTTAAATATAAACTTAGCAGCCTCATTATAAACTACATATACATACGGACAGTATGATTATGGTACTGTTCAGTTTTGTCTTTCACTGGCATGATATGGATGATCCCTATATACAACTCACCTCAAAACACACACTGCATCATGAAGGGAGAGTTGGGCTCAGAGACTTTGGGCTCAGGAGAGAGCTAATTAGATGTTGGTGCTATACTTCTGATGCAAGGTATAACATCCATATTGGTTCAGGCCTTTTAAATCATAAATCACATCATCATTAGAAGACTGCTGAATAAAGGCATGTTGTCACAAAACAGCAAAACATGGAAATTTAACACAAGTCAGATTTAAACCAATTTTTACTTTACCCACTCAATTTCAGTGTCATTAGGATCTGCAAATATTTGTTCATGTCCCTTCTTACTGGCTTAACAATACCCTCAAATTAACAACAGTTCTTTCAATAAAACAAACAAACAACAAAACATTAAGATAATGACTTTACCTTCTCTTCAAGTTGGTTGAATATGAACTCTATGACCACATCATCCTCAAATCCCAGAATCTCAGTCACACGTTGAGTGATCCATGGTTTGATGACTTCTAGGTTCACTTTGGTCATGTCCACCTAAGGAAAGAACAAGCAACAGTTATGGAAATGCAAACATACAACAAATATGTAAAGAAAATTTGTAAATACTATAAAAGTAAGAAAAAAAACAAAAACCTATGGCAGCATACATATTTTTCAACAATAAGGTAAATGGCTAAATAACTAATATGAACCAATGTTCAAGTGAATGTAAGCAAAACAGATCAATTCAGCTGATGGATCTCATTGATGATTAAAGATTTTTCCAAAAACTACACGTGCTGCATTCAAATACAGCTGGGAGACTAGGTTGTCCCAGCTGAAATATTAACTGCAAAGTAGGGCTGGGAAAAATGGCTGAAAAGCCTATGATGTAAGTGTTTCATATCAGTCGCCTTCAATAATTGTTCATTTTTGTTTTAAATATCTGAATAGCCTATATATATATATATATATATATATATATATATATATATATATATATATATATATATATATATATATATATATATATATATGCAAAGTGGTGAAAACCTGAAACTGCTGCTATAAGTTACTCAACAAGTTGTTGCTTGGTAACCAAAGAGTGAGTTAGCTGATGCTAATGACCTAATTAAGATTAAAAACTGAAAAAGCTTCTTTGCTTACTGCAGGTTAAGGTGAAAAATATATATGTAAATATTTTTTATTTACTTGTACGAAAAATGTAACAAGAAGAGATTTTTTCCCACTGCTTCAGTACTACTCCAGACTCCTATAAGGTCAAAATTGCTCATATTTTTAAACGTTATATATATATCTATATATATATTTGCCACAAGTGCCGCAATAAAAAAAAAAAAACTGTACCAAAAAAGAAGATTACAATATATTCACAATAATATAAAAGGTTTGAATGTTTTCATTATCTCTGAGTCTTTGAATTTGTGTACAAAATTAGGTAAAGAGGTGAAAAATGGTTTGTTATCTGCACAATTTGGAAGTAAGAAGAAACAAAATGGCAACTGTGTACAAAATTTGGGGTATTATTTCAACCAAACTGACTCAACAGCATCACAAGCTTTTATGAACAAGCTTAGGATTAAATGCCTTTAGCGTTAATAACGTCAATGTGATGTTCTGAGATGATGCATATACTAATATATAATAGAACCTTATGCGTACTGGACAAGGAAGTCCAGACTGCATGCGTTTCCAGAAGTTACCTCGGTTTAATCATTTTCAACACTTGAGAAATTTTGATGCAACAAGTTTGTGTTTTAGAATATAAACACCCATGTTAATAATAAAGCTCGTTGTCATTCATAGCCCACCTTCTTGTCGAGACATTCTGCAAATTTCAGCTGCTTCAGCAATTTTTTCTGCTTGTTGCTGAAACGGTTGTCTTGCTCCGCACTCGTGCCCTAAAATAATAAAATAAAAACACTTTTGAAGTCAATCTGGGTCACACATGATGATCAGTTGCTAAGTCACCAGCAGGAAGACAATGGTTTCGTAGGAGTCGCCACATTAAAAGCAAGATAGGAACGTTAGGGGACATTAATAAGCAAGAAGTCAACAAACCCGTATGTAACCTTTCTAATTAACATCGGCGCAAACGTGTTCGCGAATAGCTAGTCGAAACATTAGCGACGCACCGGCCAGGCGCCATCTTAAGCCAAGGTCTGGTCTAATTCCTGCAATATTACCTACAAATAACCTAAACACATTTTAAACCCGCAAAGTAACATTTAATGACGGAGTACTATAATAAACATTTCTTATATAAACACTAATTCACTCCCCAGATACCTCAGTTCAAAGAAACCCCATAACGAAATCACAAATTACTTGACATCAGTTGATAGACGAAGCCATGACCGCACTGCTTCTAACAGTATGGCCTCCTACCTAAACACACACGCCAGATTCGCGACAAATATCTACGATATATGAACATGCAACCAACCAAACCGGCGATAACTCATTAGCTATTTGCTTAAAGCACTTACGCGGAAAAATCCCGCGTCCATTTTTGTTGAAATATGATTGTTTCAGGCGCAGTGGAGAAGGACGTGCGTCGGCCCGGTTAAACTCTTGAGTGGGAAGCCGGATGAAACGTGCGTCCCATGAGGAAGGAAGCGGTACTGCAGCTGGAGGAGTTGGTTTTGGAGAACGAAAGTTACAAAAGCATAAACTCTCACAGTTTACTACGAGTATCGTTTCACATTAACGCAACAAGAATCTTAGCACCTTCGTGAGACCCTTTGTAAACATTTATATATAAATAAGTGATCATAAACACACTTTCCCGACTATAAAATCGTGGTTGCACAATAATGTGGGGATATTTTTGTTTATCACGGACCGTGAAGCTTGGCAGAGTTGATGGAAAGAAACCTAAATACAGAACTAAATGCAGAACATTTCTGTGAGAAAACCGAGATCTCTCTTAAATGAAACAGTTTAAATCAAGAAATTTTACTATAAGACTAAAAAAGAACATACACATTATTTGTATTTTGAAGAGTTGACAAATTCAAAAGGTAAACATTTTATTTTTCATATTATTTACATTTGAATATAAAGCGTATTTCTAATTTTTATAAATTAAAGTAAAATATAATTTTGGCAGAACAACATTTTGATTATCTGTCTGTGCGACAGCAACTGTTCAGTGTACACCACAGTTCCATGCACTCTTCTCCAAAGTGATTAAAGTTTGATGATGGTCATCCAAGCACAAGAAAAAAATCAAATGAATAAATAACAACCTCCGTCTCAGATTCTACATCAAGTAGCTTTATTTTCAATATCATAATCGAGTGTTTTAAAGGCAGCCAGAATGAACAATGAGGTAAGCAGTCCAGAGTTCGGTGAGCGGCCATGCCAGAATATTCTGGCAAACAACCTGTTTTGTAACTCTAAAGGTTGCCTCTGGTCTATTGTAAAAAAATATACTGTAATAGAATATTGTGTTGTTGCATGCAGGAAACGTAACATTTAGAGATCTCTGTACCGTAAAAATAGCAATGTGTGGATTTTTTTCCCGTTATTTATGCAACTTTCTCATGAGTAAAGTGATGCATATGACAAGACAACAAAACAAATGTGAAAAAGCTTCAACAGTGTATGATTCCCTGAAGTAGACTGAGCAAGTTTCATTATAAACTAAAAGGTTCTGACTAGAAGAGTTCACTGATGCTTTGTCGCAGTGAAGTAACAGAAAGTTGTTGATAAATGTGCAGGTTGAAAAAGCCAGTGGTGAAGTATTTGTCTCTCAGCTGCCAAAAAGTATCTGCTAGCTGACAGGAAGTCCCTCTCTGGTCCTCTTGTCTCTGACACAGCGCAGCATGTCTTTCACCAGCTCCTCGAGCCCGAAGGCTGGTGCCCAGCCCCAATCCCTCCTGGCGTTGGAGTCGTCAAATCTCACAGGCCAGCTGTCAGCTGGAAAGTTACACAAAATCATTTCATCAGTAAGAATATGCTAGCGGTAGGAGTTCAATCTTTAACTTCACAGAGCTTGGGAGAAGGTGCAAATAAAATTAAGTGCTATTGGGGACTGAAAAACCTGTTGGTTCAGAAACTGTGATGTGTTGTGATGTGTTAACATTCCAGGTTAACACGTCACCTGGAATGCAATACATAATGTAACCTTCCGACTTTGTTTCCCTTATTTCATAGTAGATCATGTGTAAAGGAGCTGTTGGTGCCATTAACATTGTGCACTTTCCAGAATTTGGTATTGTGATTCTGTTGGAGTTTTCTTTTATGCTTCCTCAGGATTAGGACCTGTTAATGCCTGGAAATGGCATTTGTTGTGATACATGATTCACTTAATATAAGCTTGTCAAAAATAAATTGAATCAACACATCAATGAGTTACACAAATTGCTGTTTGATATATAAATACAAAACTGCCTGTGTTTATGTTACATTATGTTTGCAGTAAAAGCAGTAAAAAGAAATCATACCAATTGTTTGGCGCACTGAGTCTGGATTGTAGGTGACCTTAAGGTGTGGGAGATGCTTGCGGATTTCTTGGGCCACCTCCTCTGGCGTGAAGCTCATGGCAGCTATGTTGTAAGTGCGCAGAGACAGCTGGCACTCTGGAGTTTGCATAAACTCTACCGTGGCACGGTGGCAGTCAGAGATGTGCATCATGGGAAGACGGGTGTCAGCTCGCAAGTAGCACTCATGGTGACCTGTGCTGAGAGCGTCGTGGAAGATCTGAACTGCGTAGTCTGTAATGATATAAGCCCCAAAGATTTTAGTCAATCACACCTATCTTATCACAATGGAACTACGTCTCTTGTAGGTGAGTTTTTGTGAGGTGAGTAATACCTGTTGTTCCTCCACCAGGAGGAGTGTTGACTGATATTACTCCAGGGTAACGCAGGCAGCGAAAGTCCAAGCCATATTTATGATGGAGATACTTTAGAAAAACAATGCATTTATGGGTTTTGACTATTAGCGTGTTGTACAAGTATTCAGACATCATGAACGTTTCCACCTTTTGTTGCAATACAGCCAAAAACTCCAATCTTACTGGAATCTCAAGTGATAGATCACCACAAAATAGTGCATAAGCAAATTATATATACATTTGAAATGTAAAAAATTGTAAACCATCCAGTTATCTAAAACATTTTGAAAAGTGCAGCATACATTTGTATTCTGCCTTCTTGTATCAATACCTTTTAAAACCACTCCATTCTGCAATTGTAGTTGTAAATGTTTAGAGATTTCTGACTACCAGTTTCATCTAGAAACCAAAATGTTTGGGTCACACTTTCCATTTATAGATAATGGTCTGAACAAAGCCTCTATGAGATATCTAAAGTTTTAGATATTGTTTAATAACCTAACCTTGCTTTAAACATCTCAATAACCTCATCCTCTAAGTGTCTGCTCAGTTGTTTGATCTTCATGATACTGTTTGTTTGCTAAACCTTCACAAACAGCTGTTTCTATACTGATATAAAATTACATAACTTATTTAAAAGTTAGGTGACTAAAGGCATTAAATTTTATCTGGGGGTTTCAAAATAAAATGGGCTGAATACAAATGCACAGCACCTGTTTAACATTATTATTTGCAAAACTCTTTTACACTATTACATAATTTTTTTTCCATGTCATGGTGATGCACTATTTTTGTTGGTGTTTCACAAAAACATTTGCGCTTGTAACGTGACAAAATGTGAAAAAGTTGTATCAGCATAAATGCTTATGCAAGACTCTGTATTTCCTCACTATGAAGTTCAATTTATGCCTAAGTTTTTAAATCCTACCTCCCCCATCAGTTCGCCATGCACTTTAGAGACACCATAGATGGTTCTAGGACGCTGTACACAGAGGTCAGGGGCGGGGTCACGGGGAGAAGAAGGACCAAATGCCCCAATGGTACTGGGGACGAAGAGGCGAAGGCAGTTCTCCAGGGCCAGATCCAGAACGTTGTGTAGACCTGGAAGGGGCAAAAGAAACTTAGACATGCGTAGCTTAAAACCTGGAGAGACGGAAAACCACGGACATCGAAACCGACCTGTGATGTTAATTTTTCGTGCTAACGCTACGTTAGCCTCACCCACAACGCTAAGCAAAGCGCTGTAGTGAACCAGCCAAGTAATGCGGTTATTTATGATCAGTTCTCTGAGGTGCTTGTAGTCCAGCACATCGGCATACACAAACGGCCCTAAAAACAATCAGAAAGTGAAAACTAAGAAACATGTTAAAGATAAAAATAGATCAGAAAAAGTAGGGAAAACTGAATTAGTTTTCCTTACCACTGGTGTAAACATGAGAAGGGGGCTTCTTGATGTCAGACAAGATCACACTCTCCGGCCCATACTGGTTCCTGAATATTATTACACGTCTAATGAAATTTCAAACATTCTAATTTTGAGATACAAAAGGTTTGTGCAGAACTTACCTAAGCATTTGAGCAAGCCCCACTCCCAATTGCCCCAAACCACCTGCACACAAAGACATTTGTATATTTTACCTCGCCAAGAAAACAGCAAACAAACATGTAGAGATATTGGTACATCAACAGTCACTGGGCTGTGAATGCATTTAGGAGATACACAAGAATGGATGGCAAAAAAGGGTTTTGTTTGTCCCAAGGCTTTGTTACAGAACAAAAAGTCACCCAAGCCTACTATTCTCCTGCCTTTCATCTCACAAACACTGTCTGTTTCCATTCTTTTGTGATGAGTCCAAACAGGGTCCTGCTGCTAGCACAGATTGAAAACAAAGTCCACATGTCTCTCATGTTCTGCTTTTGACAACAAACACTCAACAACACCAGCCCTTCATTCTTAAACTGCCTAATTTCTTCACATGTGACTGCTTGAATTTGCTTAGAAAAGATCTTGAGCAATCGATCCTCTTACTTTTCTCACTATATTCTCATCACCACAGCTCTCTGCTCTTATTGTAACAACTCATGTCCAATGACAGAAAACAGTGGAATGGTGTATAAATCATATTTAAATTCAGAGATGTTCAATGTCCACCAGATTTAAATAATTCGGAGCAAATAAAGGCTGGAAATCATCTTTACCTGTGATGAGCACACGCGGGTTTTCCTGAGGTGTATCAGCATTGCAGGACTCCTGACTGTTCCATCTAGTCATCTTTCTAGGCCAAGAGCTGAAGCTGCGACTGGGTCGATTCTGTGCGCTGCTGAGGCAGCCTCGGCACAGCAGGCCCAGCATACACACCTGACGACCAGGCTGCATATCCAGCAGCAGTCCTTAGGAAAGTTAAAAGACCAAATGGGTTAAATTTATTACTATGATGACCATAGTTAAGTTATTTATGCATCAGAAGACAGATATTACCTTTATGCAGACAAACTCAGAAATCCCCGACAGGTGACTTTTGATTTCAAAATCAGCTGATGCAACTCGGTAAATCCACAGCAGTTCCTCACAGCAAAACTAGAAATCAAAAGATTGCAAGACTGCATTTGTGTGTTCTAGAATATCGGTTTTAAATCTCCTGGTAACCACTGGGTAAACCTGCAGGTGTGGGGAGACATGCTGGGCGATGTGGTTCTGGCCCACCTTTGTGTAATCACAGCAGCCTGTGCCTCCTGACTGCACTGGACTACAGTCTCCAGCCTACAAAGCTCCGTGTGGACAAACATGCTGACTTGCTGCGCACAGGGATTTGCATTGTGAAGACTGTTTAGCTGAGCTTAACAGGACTGCGAGGTGTGTCTCGTATATCCTTCTACTATATAAGGTGTGTGGTTATATATCCTTTTTATGAATGAACTGTGATAACCTCACTGATGTTTCTCCCCCTATTTTTTTTTTGTCTTTGGGGATAAGAAAAGTGCAAGAAGTGTATTATTATTTATTAAGCATGTTTCCAACTGGCTCTTCATGTTCACCTAAGTATGTAGAAGAACTCTAAAATAATACAAAACACCACATTTCCTACGTTCTACTGTTGTTACTTTTCAGCTCTTCTTTCTTTCTCTTCTTGAACTGTATATTTTAAAATGAACATTTCTTCAAGAACAACCAAAATATTACACACAAAATTGAATAAACAGAAAATAAGTCATATATAAACTGCATATACAAATAAAGAACAAAAAAAAAAAAAAACATCACTAAGACACTGAAACACACCAAGCTTCTGATAGTTTACCTTCCAATGTCTTAGAGCTCATGTATCCTGAGCTTTATCAAAATCCTTAGGTACTTCAGGAACAGCAGCATCTGGTAACTCAGTCCTTGTGTTTTTTGAGATATTGATGTTCTCCGTCACAATTATCGTCCTCATTTGAACTGAATATTAGCTTTACAACCCCACTTCTAGGTTATTATATTACAGTGTGACACATAGCATTAATTTTAATGTTACTGAGCATTTAAATCATGCAAATCAGAATATATATATATATATAAACACATTTAGTGCCATGATTAAGTTGGCACTAAACATGTTCTGCTAATTGTTGGAGAACAATTACCACTGCTACTATCTGTTCAAGATCATTACTGTCACAACTATTGCTAAGGTTTTACAAGCAATATTGCCAGCAATGGATAATATGCCCTTTAATATGAAGATGATTAATTTAAATGTAATCCCAACATAGGGTCAAAACCTAACAATTAATATTTACTCCTTTGTTGTTAATTTGTGTTCCATATATTTTTAGTCATAAATCCGCACAAGCTCCCCAGTCGATGCCAGAGTATGGAACAGCACGCTAGAGTCCAATTAAATTGTTTATATGAAAATTTACTATCACCACACGTATACATATGGACGTAGCTGTCCACTCTAGGGACCACAATGCATGAAAGAGATATTTTAATGTAATAACTATCTTGTAGTAGTTAAGCTAGTCATGAGATGCTATTAAAAGAAAAACACTCAAATCTCAAGTCTTAAAACACTAAAAACCCATTATGTTTAGGTTTAACAAAGGTATTTGTCCTTACATTGTACTAAGGCAGGTATTAATAATTACCAGATGTTTTAATCTAATACTTTTTCATAATAATCCATATTAATGATCTGTAATTTTTTTATAAACTCCTAAGGGGGAAAATAAAATGACGACAAAACTCAATTCTTAGGATCAACATTTATGGAGGCGAAAAAAAAATACAGTTCATTCAAACATGAAAAAAATTAAAATATGGCTCTGTGAAACAATTTTCTCTTTCAAATCCTATTTTCTTTGTAGGGGTGTCACCTCTGTGTCACCCTGTGCCACTCAATGACCATGCTCCTTATTTCCTCCTGAACTTCCTCAAGATGTCGCGCCTGCTGCGTCCACCTCAGGAAAAAGCCTGGGGGTCAAATCAAAATATCAAGACCAATCACTGTCATCTAATACGTATCAGAATCTGTTTTACTAAAGTGGTGTGATTAATCAAATGGCAGCTTACCTCTCCAGAGCTGCAGGGACTGTGGGTGAACTGAGGGCCAGATTGCCAGCTCGTTGGGTTCATATAGAGGGTTTGAGTAGTAATCTCTCTCTGGCGGCCTCAGCAAGGCCTGGAACAAACAGTGAGTCCTGTCCTTCACTGCTAGAGCACACCTGAAAGTGGTCATTGGTTTCAATGATCAACACTGACGAACTCTGCATTGCAATCTGTACTGAGTGAAAAACCCGCCGGTGCTGAACTGACCTCTCCTGGTCATTGTTGCACAGAAACGTGCCGTAGTCTGAAGCGTAGACCTCATTTGCCAGTCTGAGGAGCAGCGTCTCAGAGAAACCCAGCGCCAGGGGGAACTGACGCCAAAGCTGCCAAACACAGTCCAGCAGCAGCAGGAAGATTGGAGACTCCTGCTGGAGGCGAGCGTGGGAGTAGGCTGAATGGGCACACCGCTGCTGGAACGGATGTCCTGCCTGCAGGATAGGCCACGCACTCAAATGAACAAGAAGACATGATGTCTTGCAAAAACCAGAAATTTTTGTAGAGTTCAAAAGTTTTTGGGAGAAAATGATTGAACAAACAGCATCATGAAGAGCAAAGGAGCAATGCAGGCAGCTCAAGTTCGAAGCCGACAAATTGTTTAAGTTAGGGTTGGGTCATTAAACAATATTCTAAACATATCAAGGAGCACTGTTCAATCTGTCATCTGCAAATGGAAAAAGCTTCACAACTTGGCATTAGAAAGCCTTTTTAGACTAGGAAAGGAGATCATTAACCAGAGAAGCCACCAGAGTAATTCTGGCATTTTTACAGTTCACTGGAGAGAATCTGTTGACAGGATAACTATTAGTTTCACACTTCACAAAACTGGCTTAGCAGTGGAAGAGTGACAAGAAGACAGTTATTGCTGACAGAAAGCTATAAGAAGTAATAGGCCATATTAGTGAGTCAGCAAATATGTCAAAGAAGGTGCTCTGATCAGACAGGACTACAATTTAACTTTAAGTACACCATGTAAAATACTGCATGCATAATGCAGAGGGAATGTTTTTCTTCACCAGGTGTAAGAATGTTTATTATGGTTTGAGTAGAGATAAAAATGTGACAGTTCTGGAAGAATTCCTACTTTTTCTGGAAATAATTTCAAACTGGAACAAAGTCCAATATCAGTAAGCAACCAGAGCCATGATGGAATGATCATATTCATGTTGCAGAATGGCCCAGTAAAAGTCTGAATTTTAAACAAGGGCTTCTGTCAAGACTTGAAAGTTGTTGCTCACAGACTCTATCCATCCAACCGTAAGCTTTGAGCTACATGGTTAAGAAGAAGGAGCAAAAAGAGCTGTAGATGTAAAAGGCACGCTGAGACCCCACAGAGTATGAAAAGTTTTGCAAGGCGCTGTCTTGCTTACAATTTGAGTTGGGGATTATTTTTGTGAACTATTATACATTCACAAAAATATGATCCACCAAAAATGGTCTTCACTGGAAAAATGATATACACAAGGAAACGATGCTCTGAACGTCCTTTCTTCTCTCATACACACTGTAGCCCCACCTGTAGCCACTCCCTGTCCAGGAGAGCCAGGAAACCCTCCAGAGTGCGGCAGCTCGGGTCCATGATGAGTTGGGCCAGAGTACAGACGAGCAAAGTGCAGTCTGTACCTTCATAGCCGTGGACCAGAGCTGAATGGCCATCCCTGGACAAAAACAATACAGTCTAATAAAAAGAGTCATCTGCATTCATTCTTTAATGTAGCATGTTTTGGAAGTTTGGGCATAAGAGACAGACATCCTTTCTTCATTATTAATATTTTACAAAATTTTTGTGTAATTTGGTTCCTTTTCTTTGATTTAATACTCTTATTTTATTAATATCTACTAATGAAAATGACAAATCTTACGTTTCTTTAGTACTTTAGCAATAAAAAAATGACATTTTATCTTATTATATTTATGCTGCTTTTAAATGTTGCCCAGTTGCCATGCTTGTTTACTCTACTAAATGTTTATCAACCTGAAGTTTATTAAGTTTATTATGCAAATTTATGTGCCCACTAGTTGTAATCTCATCACGGAAATGTACTGTAGGTGTTGCTCTTACCTCTCCACACACTCTACCAGCAGGCCAGCTGTGGACAGAGCAGTCTGGACGTGAGACAGCCATTTTGAATTCTCCAGCTTGCTAAGCCAGCGGTCCACGTTTTGGGACTCATCTCCACAGGCTTCCACCAGTTTAATCAGGCTCTCCTGTAGGGCCTTACCCCTGAACACACAACGGCAAAGAAGAATGAGAAGCTAGCTCTGGGAGAAAGATCTGCAAAGTTACTAACACACTAACACACAAACCTTTCCATCTGTTTGTGAAGCCTCTTCCAGCGGCTGTAGCACGATTTGGACTCAAAGCCGCCGCCTGTCATCCGAGCCTGCTGAACCTGCTGACTTGAACGAGTGTCAATAATGAAACCTTTATCCGAGTCCTCAAGCACAACCTGAAGGAGGAGTTCGTCTTCCTTGCAGCGTTTCTTGTTGGCACCCGTCAGTGGCTGGCTGCTGCGCATGATCACCTGAGTAAATACAGAAAGCAGGTTAGAAATAAAATGGAGCTTGTACAGTGTTCATACTCCGCGAACCTTTCCACTTTTTGACAGGTTACAATGCCAAACTTTACTTTGTTTTATCGGGATTTTGTGTGATAGTTTTTATGATTTATTTACAGACAAAAATCAGAAAAGTGAGACTTGGATTTGTCTAACCCCCTCTGAGTTGGATATTGTCTCTACCAGATCTGCACGCATAAAGCCAGATAATTGGAAAACCTTACATGAGATCTTCCCTGTCTCCTCTATGGAAAACAATATCCACAGGATGATGCTGTCACCACCATGTTTTACTATGAGGTGTATTCAGTGTCCAGTCTCAAAAGAGCTGCTCACCTTTGTATGATATGTTTGCTGTCATCTCTGCATAGCTTGTGAAAATCTGTATACCAGACTTTCCAACATTTTCCTTTAACAATGACTTTCTTCTTGCCAGTTTTTCATGAAGAATAGATTGATGTATTCACGTAACAGTTATCTTTAAGTTTAATTGGATGGTCATGCCTTGTTATATTAGCAAATTTTCCATATCATTTCCATTTTTGGATCCTGATTTGAACAGTGATCTGTGAGAGGTTAAAACTTTAGGGTCATATTTCACAAACTAAAACCTCTCCACACATTTCTCCCGGTGACCTATCTGTTGTGTTCCTTGGTTTTCATGATTTTGCTCTATAATGACTCTCTCAGGCCTCTGCAGAACAGTTGGAATTATACTAAGATATATTCGAATGCACACCGAGCCTTTTATATAACAATATCTGTTTTACTTTCCAGTCCACAATCATGAACTACATTGTCTGTCACATGAAATCGGAATAAGGTAAATTGAAGTTTGTCCTGTAAATGGAAAACAAATTGTAAGAAGTTTAAAGAGGGTTGGATAATCTCGAAAGTCATCCTATCAGGCAGTACGATCCCCTTACCATGCCATTCTTTCGATGGTAGTAGCACAGGACAGGGAAGCGGCCACCCTGCCTAAATTTGGCCACTTTCTTCAGTGTTTCATCATCGATGCTTTTTGGAACAATGACTACCGGAGGATAGGAAGGACACACAGAGTAGGTTTTGTTCACACTGCTCAACCTCCAGTTCCTATGCTGAAAATAAAGAAAGATGGCATAGCTTATGGTCATAAAGTACTGAAAAACCAAAAATTTGCTAGAATCCCTAGAGAAGGGCGGCTCAAGACCATTTAAATTAAATTAGGTTACAGGAAGTTTGAACAGAAAAAGACTGCTCCTCAATATAGTAAGTTAGCATGTCACACCTAACAACTCAATAACAGAGAAGCTTGACAAGTTAATGTAGAGGCTGTCTTGGACAAAGTAGCACATTGAAAAACACTGCTTTTAATTGGGAGGCCTAAAAAAGACATTAACAATTCATTCAGAAAGTGGTCAAATGTGGTTAAACAAAATATAGTGTTTTTAACATTATCAAGATATATAATAACAGTACATTTTATTAATTTAAATGTGCTGCAGAAAGGCTTCAAACAAAAACAAGAATAAACTGGAAAAGAAATGCCTAGACATGCAAATTCCAGTAAGTTTCTCCCAGTAACCAGGCCACCCTGAGCTATACATTCCTCCTACTTGAAAAATGTTGGCCTCATTAAACACTTCCAACAATTAAAATCCTTATTGCCCAACCCTTCGTCATGGCGACATGGCGAAAGACATCAACTCAAGCTGTGTGTTTGTACGTTCTGACGATAGGGGAAAACAAATGAAAGCTAAGCAACAGGGATATCCTGAAAAGTGACCTTTCGGTCCACCCTCCCTGGCATTTTCCTGTCAGATGCCTGCTGGATTGTTGTTGAAAAAATGGTTACTTTTTACAGTTTTTGTGTAATGCTTTACTACAAGTGACGCTTAACTTTTGTTAGGCAAGTAAAAAAAGCTTGATAGTTTCTTACAAGTTCTTTAATTTGAGTGTAGTGTTTTTCAGGGGTTGAGAGACCCCACTGCTCCCGCAGGCTGAGGTCATTGGGCCTGTAAAAGAAAGGATACATCTCCGACACATTGTCCAAACAGGACAGGGTCTGCAGGAAAAAAAAAAAGAGTTGGCTGCTAAATGTTGTAATCCAAGAACATAACAATTTAGAGCAAAATATACTGATCCTTTACTTTTGTTAAGGTATTACTGTAAAATACCTCAATCGAGTGCGCAATGTTGAGGCACTGCTCCATGCCTGGAATGTCCAGATGAAGCACGCGCAAATCTTTGCACTTGATGGTGATTGTTCCAGAGGATCCAGGCATCCTGTGCATATAAAAGTAAGTTTAATCATGTTTTTCATTCAGGTGGATGCTTTTGCTTCCACCAATGCAGTGATTCCTTGCCCGACTTGCAGCAGAAGAGGAAACAACAATGGTTGTTCTGAAGGTGTGCTTCTCTTTGTGAGTGAACCATAATAGTTTCAAGTGGTTTCAGAAGTACTTTCTCAACGCATTGAAACCAAGCTTCAGAAAGAGGCACAGGAGACAGTGAAGCATGTGGCCAGCAGCAAGTTGCATAGAGAAGCTGCAATTTTATTATGAAATTTCCTTTCTCGGCAGAGGCAGAACACAGCAGGCACATGGCAACACCAACAATTTCCAACCTGTCACTGTGGGCTGCTTTTGAGAGGAGGCCGGAATAGCCCAAAAGGTTTTCCACACTGGTTGGACAGATTTGAGGAAGCGAATTAGACATAGTGGGATTAAATGACACACTTATGATTAGTTCATTCGTAAGTTTGGTAGTGTAAAAGTCAGTGTAAAAGTTGACGGCATAGTGATCAATTGGTATATCGGAGGGATTTAACAGTCTGATTTAAGTTGCAAGGAATGAAGAATAGATGAAACCAACAAGCTTGGTTTCAAATCCTTATTCTAAGAAGTCAAGTAGGTGATAAGCAATTTTGTCTTAGATCAAATTTGCAGTTCTGGACGCCTCCCAATCTCACCTTTTCTCAATGGCATCGATATTCCTGAGCAGCAACAGAACCTGCCTGGAGCTGCCCTCCTCTCTGTCCGAGAAGAGCAGGTGGTGACCAGTGACGCACAGGGTCCCTCTGCTCGGTGGGTGCAGCGGCTGACGGAGCACAACATCCTCCACGTTGGCCGTCTTGATATGGTCAGAAAACTCCATCTGCCTCCTCAGACTTCAGAAAAAAAACCCTCACAGAAAGGAACTTTCCTTCTTTCTACCACCCCCCGCACTTCACTTCAAATCACCTACTCGCCTCTGTTTAAGAAAATGAAAGCAAGCTTCCTTCTCTGCACTCGGAACTGGCGCGGCTGTCTTGCAGTTGCGCTGCTGGTTTGACGATAAGGCGTCTAAAAATAGAAGAAACTTCATATTTCCCCGAACATTACTGAACCAGATGCGGGTTCACCTTTTACTGTTACTACTTGTTAAGCTGGTGTCTGGCGTGGAAATGGAAAATAAGTTACTTGAGGCAACAAAAGACGGAAGTGCGCGTTTCCTGAGACAAAAAGCGGCCCAGTGTGATGTGACATTTAAGTTAAGTTTAGTTCAGTTTCGAACGAAAGGCAGCGAGGTGCGGATGCAATACATAAAACGGCCACCATGTGGCACTACAAGGCAACAAAAGTTAACTTCAGGCCATTGGTTTTGCTATCTGAACCACAGAGGCAATTTTGCCCTCAGTCTTTATAAGATTTGCTCCAAAACTTTAGAGCAAATGTTACACACAAAAAAGACTGTATGTAATTGTTGATAAATATTGAGTATAGGAAATTTGTAAAGCATTTAAAAATTTTTTTTAGTTTCTGAAATAAATTAAAGCAGCAATTTTTTTCATTCGAAATTAGGATTGATTCATTTTATTACATTGGATGTTGATATTTATGGAAAACTGATCTCAGTTATTCCATCATACAAAATCAGAAACACCGTTAAAAAAGTTATTATATCTACATTCTTATATTAAATTTGTTATTATAGCTATTTAAAACAACAACAACAACAACAAAAACAATATAGTTCTTTGTCAGTTTTAGCCAAACTTATTAAGAGCCAATGTGGAAGGTCCAAAGAGCCACTTGGGTCTATGAGGCCTCAGGTTACAGATCTTTGCTTTTGGTGAAGAGATGAAGACTTTTACAATGATTAAATTAGATTAGATTAAATTAGATTAGATTAGATTAGATTAGATTAGATTAGAGCAGGAGTGTCAAACTCCAGTCCTCCAGGGCCACTGTCCTAAAGTTTTTAGATGTGCCAAAGGTACAAAACACCGGAATGAAATGGCTTAATTACCTCCTCCTTGTGTAGATAATTTCTCCAGAGTCCTGCTAATGACCTAATCATCCAATTTGGGTCTGGTGCAGCAAAGGCACATTTAAATGTTGCAGGGCACTGGCCCTCCAGGACTGGAGTTTGATACCTATGGATTAGAGTATTAGAATTATTTTTTCTCTAGTTTTCCTAAATAAAACTTGTCTGTACCTGCAAAAGCTATAAGACATTTTATTTTCCTTGGTTTCTTTTAAAGATTTCAGACATAATGTATGTCAACTACTATATAATTTTCCCTATTGTGAACACAATTGCCAATATTTTCGTTTATCATAACAAATGCAAGATTTTTTTCTAGTTTCAACCTGATGGTGTAGTGTCAAACGGAAGAACTCCAATAGTGTTTTTTTTTTTCGCCTAACGTCATCTGTACAAATTTGACTCTTGAAGCATATAAAAATGAATGGATGGATGGGTTTTTATTTTTTGTGCAAAGCCAATTAAAATTAGTTTTTGCCTCATCCTCCACATGCAAATAAGTTGATTTAAAGTAAGAAAATAACTTCCCCATATATGGACAATGAATAAAGAATTATTGAAAGGATTTCAACACAAAATAATTAAAACAAAATTAAAATACAATGGTAAATACTGAGGCTACGTGCATGACCCTATTAAGTTTTACAGATATATGACAAATTTAGACGTAGAATTTTTTAACTAATGTCCCAAATACACAACCCAGCCATATTTTATAGTATTTTCCATAAAACACAGGAATGTTATATGTTGAACCACTACACTTGTGATGTATTCCATTACTATAAAATAAGCTGATCTGTAAAATATGATTAAAAACACAAGTTTATTTATTTCATATTTTCATAAATAAACAAAACATCACATTTGTTGTTATGACAGATGCAAGTTAAAATGACCTCCAGGTGTCCCACTCTCTGAAGATGTGCCACACAATTTTTACTCAACCAACTCTATAAATACTGAGAGTTTCAAGTGTAAACACAATATCTCAGCAAATCCGTTTGGGAAGTCCAGATTAAAAAACATCCAACTTGGATTAGCATGAGTAAGATTTATTATATGAATAATAGGGTGGAATCTTGGCTGGTTGAAAAGACCTCTTATAACTTCTTATAAGCTTTTTCCTGTGAAGATAAATTTTTACAGTGTGTTTGTTACATTATATTGCAACGTTAATGATGCATGAGAATGTGGCAAGCCATCTGTTGGCCTCAGCTTTTTTTTTTGTCTGCAAAGGAAATAAAAGGTAGTGATTTGTTTTGATCATCCATTGCAGAGGCCTTGATGCTAGAGGTTTGTGCATGAGGCCAGGAGAGACAGGAATTCTAGAGTAACTATTTCTCTCCTAGTGCTACAGAAAGATCAGTTAGCCCATGCTAAGATCCATTTAACTTTTACCTTACAGAAAATCACTGATTTAGATCTTCTAATTTCTAAAGTGCTTGGTCTTCTCCTGGTGCTCTCTTAAAAATCCTTTTTTCTTTCATGTCGCACAAATCTTCATTGTGTGGGTGAATCATATAAAATCTTATGTAAGATGTGAGGTTTGTGGTTATTACTTGACAATATTTGAAAAGTACATTCCATTTTACATTGGCCTTTTTTATTGGATGCGCCATTTCAATGGCTTGTTAACACAATGAGCCAATCACATGACAGCAACGGAGTAGGTTTGGTCTTCTGGAGATAAGTTACTAAAGTTCAAACCAAAGACCAAGATGTGGAGCAGAAGGGAATTAAGTGACTCTGAATGTGGCACAGTGTGTGGATTTCTGAAATGGACAGTCTACTGAGATTTTCCTCCATCTCCTTTTCTGACAAGTTTTATCTCTAACCTTGTCAGAAAAAAAGGAAATGAATCCCCTTAATTGATATCTGTGGACAGGAGGAAGACAGAGGACTGGTTTGATATGATGAAGAGGCAACATAAGCTCAAGTGAACACGTGTTGTAACTGAGGCATGCAGAAGAATACAATCTCAAAATGCACAATTCTTTAAGCAGATGAACTTCAGCACCTGAAAACCACATCGGGTGCAACGCCTGTTAGTTCAGAACAGGAAACTGAAGTTACAAATCTGAGCATCAAAATACACAGAGACTACTCTACTTTACATTTCGTGAGGAACTGTTACTTTTTACACTTACATGTGTGTAAGAATTGGGTTGTTTACACACGCACGCGCACGCACACGCACCTACACACCTACATGCATGGGTGTAGATGCACACGCACTTACACACATGCACACGCACGCACATAATCTCAGGTGGTCTTGGTTCATCGAAATGAAATTTGTTTTGAAGTTTTTCTTGACATGAAACTCTCTGCTGAGGTCTTCAGGTCCGACGTCCCCTTTCATAAAACAGCTAATAAATTATTCACCCCTCCCGTCCTCTGCGGGATGGGCGGCCACTGTGTGGCTTCTCCCTATAAAGGAGGTCTGGACCTGTTGCGCTCTCCGCACCCTCCGGAGAGCCGTTGTCAAACTGAGTTCAGACAGTTTCTCTTCCCCGTTTGCACGAATGGATTTTAAAGAGCTTGGAGCGGATTGCTCGGAGGAAGACACGGAGGATCTGGACAGCGTCAAGGCGCTGACGGAGAAGCTGAAGCTGCAGACGCGCAGACCGTCCTATCTGGAGTGGCAGGAGCGGTTGCAGAGTCGCCCTTGGACGGACAGGAGCCCCACGGACTGTCCGGACCCCGCTGAAGGAGACGTTTCCATGCCCACAGTTTTGAGGAATGACAACTCAGAGTTTGTTGTGCGCAACATATGCGGCTTTGATACCATTGATGATGCGCTGGAGTTTCTGAGAAAAGAGCTGGTGAGTTGGGCTTATGTTTAACTAAATTATTGCAACTTGACATGAATGATTTCCAGTTAATTCTCAGCCCTCTAAAACCCAAAATCTGATAAAGTCAGGATAGAGGCAGCTTCCTGCTTCACTATAAGGTAGATAATCATCTGCATGAATGCCTCTCTCATTTCAAGAATAGCATGAATGATGGCATGCTTAACTCAGTTTAAACAAACACCTTGTGAAACAATATGATGCCTGTTTTCTCACAGACTTTACCTGGAAGCATCCAAATGCAAATAATTTCAGTTTGGCACAAGTGAACACGAGTTTTAAATAAGTGATCAAATGTGGAATCTGCCCTCAGTTTTTATTTTTTATTTTTTTGGCTTTATGTTTTTGTAGGACTATTTCCAACAATCTGTGAAATACGCCAACATTTCTGAAGGCATTTATGTTTCTCTATGGGAAATTTTTTTTTTGGAATGACATTAAGTTTATAACTGCAGTGATTAGCTTACTCTAGCAGAATTGTTACCTTTTTTTTTAACAAGAACTTTCTACCCTACACTCTTTACAGAGATAAAACTACTGATTTCTTACATCTGACCCCAGTTTCCCACTTTTTTCTCTCACTGCCCAGAGGGAGATGCAAGTCCAGGACAACCGACTGGCCCGACAGCTGATCCGCCTTCGTGGGGAGATCCACCGGCTGAAAGTGGAGCAGGTGTGCCACCGTCACAAGGAGATGCTGGATGATGCCACTTACGAGTTGGAGGAGTGTGAGGAGGAGTCGGACCTACTATGCGACATTCCCATGAAAGCTGCCTTTGCTCTCTCCACGCCTCTGAAACACCTAGGCCTCACCAAAATGAACATTAACTCCAGGCGTTTCTCACTGTGTTGAAAAAGGTCAAATTTTACCCACAAAGCAACAGATGTTCTCGTATCTCTTCTCTGTGTTTGTACAAGGCACGTCACAAGAGTTATTTCCTTTTCAAGAGCGGACTGGTGAGTGGCAGGCAGCAATTGTTGCCAGCAGTGAAAATGAAAATGTCTGCCTTGATTTGTGTCCTGGTATGACATGAATGAGGAAGTATCTATGTACTCACCTGCAGAAGGCATGCACACCTCTGCTATTGCATCTTCCTGCTGGTACGAGTCTGATTCTGCTTTTTTATACAACAGACTCGTCGCAGAAACAGTAACAATAACTTGCGTTATAGTGAGCAATATAGTGAATGGATTCACTACATTGCCAAAAGCATTAAGACAAACCTCCAAGTCCTTGATTTCATTTGTTCCAAACGCCTCCATGGCCACAGCGAGGAAGGAGACCGGATGTGCAAATATTTCTAGAGCAGTCATAGTATGTCAGTGAAGTCAAGCACAGTGCTGTGATAGAATCCTGCTTGTGTAAAAGTCAATTGTATGCGGCATCAGAAACAGTTTTGAGTAGACAATGTAAAATCATAAAATTAGGCACATAGTCTGTACAAGTTGCCACCTATTTTGAAGAGTCAATGTCTATTTACCCCTAGGCTTTGTGCGTCCTTCAGAGCAGATCAAGACCAGTGTTTAGACGCTTTCAAGGAATGGGTTTCCATGGATGAGAACCTCTGACCAAGTACATAGTAAAGCATGCAGCTGCTGGATTGGAAAATCTCTGCTTGGCAGTGGCTGATGAGGTCGGTCAATCATATTTACACGCCTTCCAGCACATTACTGGGCCTGGGTGCAAAGTCACCACCCAGACTTTCCCATTCCAGCTTCACTGCCCACCAGAGCAAAAATAAGATCTTTGAGTTTGGTGTAGAGGTACTTGACTGGCTTGAAAAGAGCCTTGACTAAAACTTGAAAGAGCTTGTTTGGGATAAATTAAAGTGAAGACTGAGAAGCAAACCACTGGGAGTGACCTTACAAACGTTCTCTTGAAATAAAGGTCAAATATTTTCATAAACACACTCTTAAACCTTGTGCAAATAGTTTCTAGAGGAGTTGAAGTCGTTAAATCTTACATGCGTAGGGGAACTATTTAAATTGATGTAAACGTCACCGTGAGCATCCAAATACTTTTGGCAACACATTGTATCATATTATTTAACTGAAACGTGACCCGCCAGAGACATTTTTTTGTTTATTTTCTCAAAGACCCAGGGACCAATTATTGTGACAGAATCTTCAAACAGAAAGGTAAAATATAATTGTTGACGCAAAAAGAAATTTGGCCATCAAAACGGGGACAGTGAGATAGAAGACAAAAGGTCAAACTTTGTCTGAACTGGTTGAGGGACGAGGCGCCGACAAGTTGGATCCTTTCAGGCTGTCACATGCTTTAATGAAATCAAAGAGCTCAGAGCCGGTGTGTATTTGTTGGGCCCGGTGGAATCAGATAAAGAAAAATGCTCAGCGAGTTTCTATACTAAACAACATCTCTTCACACAGCAGCACACTTTAAGCCTTCATCAGTTTCCACCAGGAAGCAGGAGGTCACCCTCCTGATTTTTTTTACACCTCTCCCTCATGGACCAAAAATATCTCTTCAACCTCAGCACGGTTGTGACAGGAGCCAGGAGGCTGTTTTGTTTCCCAGTGACATGTTGAGATGCTGCAGAGCACTGATTGTTTAAAGCTGACCAAGTGTTGCTTTTATCCCCTTTAGCACACACTCCCACCCAAGATGAATGATTTGCTTTATACTTAAGTAACAAATGCACAACTGATTATTTTTGCTCCTCGTATACTGATGCATTTGAGCTGAAAGTATTTAATTCTATGCAATTTTTCATTGTTAAGTACTGATGTAAATGTATCTACTATGCATGTGAGTATAAAAGAAAATACCTTGGCTGAATTGTTTTCTTTATTGCCCAAAAAGGTTCAGTAATAAAAAGAGTAACTTAAATTCCCAGATGGATGGATGGATGGATGGATGGATGGATGGATGGATGGATGGATGGATGGATGGATGGATGGATGGATGGATGGATGGATGGATGGATGGATGGATGGATGGATGGATGGATGGATGGATGGATGGATGGATGGATGGATGGATGGGAATCAAACTACTGTTTTCCACACTCTATTTTTTTCTAAGCTTACCCTGACTAGGAAAATGCTTATTATTCCAGACTTTCCCAGACTGTAATGAAATCCTACAAGTGTTAGTGGTGTTACATTCCCCCACTAACATTCAAGTTCACAATAAAGTTTAAATCACCCATCAATTTCTATATTATACTTGCATTAAGCAGATTTTCCAGTTTTCCAGGCTTTATTAATCTGTTATTGTTCCCTAGAGATAAGATAAATCAGAGATGACTCAAGAACATTGCACAGCACAAAACCTGAAAGTTATTTAAAGTAAAGATCACCACAGACTCTAACCCATAATCTGGCCCCTCTACTAAAAGTAGATTTTGCACACGTGTCCTGCTTCTTTCATGTCTTGCTGCTCATTTCCTGCAGGGTTGTGCTGAACCAGACACTTTGTAAGATACAACTTGTAGAACATGAAACAAAATATTCCTTGGCAGATAGCTGTTACTGAGCCAAATGAGCAGACAGAGTCTTCATAATGTGGAGTGCTGCAGGACACATGACCTCATGTGTGACTTGAAATCAGAACAGTCAGACATGAAGGTGAATATCAAATGAAAGAAGTTGAATGGAAGCCTGAGTATTGCACCTTCCAGGCCTTTTTCTTTACCTTTGTGTTTCTCACGCCACTCAAGTTTGGCTTTCAGATATTCTCCCCTGACCTTTCTTCAGCATACCTAATGCTAACACATCCTTTAAAGCTGACATCATAGAGTAAATAAAGCATGCACAGCTCTCAGCTAACGCTGATAAGTTGTGTGCGAGTAGTAAGCATCGGTAGCATAAAAGAAGACTGCACCTGCATCGCAAAGCGGGCTGTAGGAGGACTGGAAAACGTTCTGCGCGTCGATAGCATCTCAGTTTGATTGCGTAACAGAATGTGATTTCCAACCACGTTTGGAAGCAGTGACAAATGTGGAGCAGGAATACCCTGAGCTGGCTGAGCCCTCCGACTTGAGAATTTCTGATACTGTTTACACACACATATTAGGTAATTTAGTAAAAACAGCTACCAGAAAGTCTCTGGAGTGCATCATGATGTGGAAAACTTAAACACCCTTATTTTTGCAGAATTTCACTTCTAACGGAAAAAAAGAGAATTCGGGTGGTTTTTGTCAAGAGCGAGACTCAATCTAAGCTGTGGCAGCCTTCAGAGCACATATTTCTGTGCACTGTCTGTGATGCTTGGACTGACTTCCTGCCGGTGCAAGCTCTACTGCAGCATCCGTTCACCACAAGAGAAGAAATGCGGCCCGCAGCCTGAAGTGTCTGAAGTGTATTTGCAGGGGCTTAGAGAGAGAGAGAGACCCCACAAACCCATGTTATGCAAAGTTTATTTTATTTTATTATTTTTTTTAAGAAAAGTGATGTTTGGTGATGTGACACATAAAATCTTTTTTTTTTCAAGTTTGATTTGATTGGACTTCAGATTAAAAAAAAGGTCAAAACTATTTTTAATTGACATTAAATGAAAAAACATATTTTTTTAGGTTTGTAGTCATGTGTTCTTGATACTAAACCAAAAAGAGAGGAAGCACAGCTGCTCCAAATATGCTAATGTGATATCACTTTGGGGGCAAATGTGATCTGTTTCATTAAGGTCTTGTGTGACTTTTAATTTCTATTTGTGTTGATTAATCGGGGATTACCGCGTCAGCTGCATACTGGTGCACCTTGCAAAGGTCAGCGACTCCCACATCATCACATGCTGAGAACCAAGACAAAAATACACATGCGTAGCGTCACCACCATCCTACAAAGCCCTCCTTTTCTAACTGTACTGGAACATTTTCATTTTTTGGATAGAGGAGTTGTCCTGACCCCCTTTTTTTTTTGCCTTGGAGCCCATAACGTTCCCCTTTGCTTTCACACAGCTGCACATTCAGCACCTGTTAAAAAGATTGCAGAGCAACCCTCAAAGTTTCAACGACAGGAAACTCTCTGGGTCGCTCTTCCATATGTGCATGTGTGTGTGTGTGTGTGTGCGTGTGTGTGTGTGTGTGTGTGTGTACGAGATACCGCATCAAGTCTGTTTGCAGTCTTAGTTATAATAAGAGAGGCGGATGATGACATCTTCACACCAAGCTCTTGGTGTGTAAAACAGTTGCTCTCTCGACATATAGCTCGAAAGAATAAATTCAGGTCTGAACAAAGGGAATCTTGATGGCGGCATCTGAACTCTGACATTTTTGGACATTTGAGGAAAGGTTCAATTAATTTAACAGGTGAGTAAAAGACTTGCCATGTTTCAACCTTAAAAGTTTGAGTTTAAACATGTTGCTGAAGACAGCATTACATTGACATAAATATGTACTTGTTTTGGTTTTTTGCAAATATTTAATCTTCAGCCAACTGGAAAATGACTTAAGAAATTATTTTTATCCAAGTAGCTGTGTTCCGTCTCTGATTTATGTCTATTTACTCTCATAAGGCTAAAGCAGAAGTTTCAGAAAGGTTGATGACATCATCACACACAATTATTGCTTTAAATGATCAATATAAAAGCCTTTCTACTATGTAATATTTATTTGTCTATCCGTTTTCTATGAAGTAAACCACCAACCATGTCTTTTCTGTTAAACAGAACAATAAACTTCTCAAATGAATTACAGGTACTTTATTTTAGAGATTATTTTCTCAAAGGTGGCATAAAATTAACCTCTGGTCTCAATTTGCGTCTTAGTGTTACAAAAATTTATTTGAAAGTGTCCTCAACACTGAGATCTTGAGTGCTTGTTGTGTTCATATTTGCTATATCCTGTTAACATTCAGCAGTTTGTTTGGAAAAGGCCTTCAGCTGCTTGTAATGATAAGAAAGAAAAAGGCAGAGGGAAGCCCCCTCAGTGGAAAATACTGACTTGTGTGACTCCCCAAGAGTGGGCCAGAAAGCCTTGGAGATCTGATAATAAAAGAAGGTCTTCAGAAGGGGGTGACCCCCCTTGTGATTCATCCTAAGGAGCTCTTTGCTGCAAATGGTGGGTTGTTATTTAGACCTTTGCAGATTTCTCACGGCTTTAAGCCTCTGGGACAGACGTCGGCTGTGATTAGCCCGCTGACCCTTTTTCCATGAGCGGGCTTGAGAAAGTTGGTTTATACGCCGCATTAGTGTGAAAATACGAGACATAGCACATGCGGACGACAGATTATGCGAGATTAACATTGCTGTGAATTTCTAAAAGAAAACCATTAGAGCCTTGAGGAAAATTGTTTCTGAGGGGATTCGGAGGGCTCTGAACTGGCATGTGTTTTAAGTGAACCAAAAGCGCAAAAGTTTCAGCGTTCACGCTGTCATCCTCCATTTTGTGTCAAAACATTTCCTCTTACCGGTCAGAGTTGTCCTGATTTAGGATAGTGGAACCTTCTTAGTTATAATAAGAGTAATACTAATAATATGTTGTAATTGCCATGTTTATTTGAAGCCTTAGTAATTGTTTTGTGAGCATAAGTCTTGAAGAAGTAACTTGTCTGTTTGAAATTTCAGAAAAGATGGGATGCGCCTGCAGTTCGGACTCAGACGGCGAATGGATGGAGAACTTGGACGAAATTTGCGAACACTGCAACTGTCCAATTCCTCCGCAGGCCTGCAATCCAGTAAGTGGATGCAGAGCTCATGTTTGCACAAATGCACAAATGGCTGAATGTGAATGACCACACATGAACTGAAGCCAGAAAGTGTTCACTTTACATGGGCTCCCACCATTCAGTCTGTTTGAGTAAACATGATACAGTACAATGTGTTTCAATGCGCTTCGGTACAACAGAGTTGAATACCTTGCATAACTGCAAGGGAAGCTGTCTTTTGTGTGTGTGATTAAGAAAGAGTACAACTATTCCCTCAGTGTTTTTCTTTCCTCGCTGTGACTGAGATGTCCCATTAGATTAGGCGTTAAGGAGAAAACCACCTGCGTGTCACACAACACAGTGGCGTTTCATTTGTTTGCAGAGAGAGTGAAAAAAAACACTAAACGGACAACAATTACCGTCAAGAGCTGGTTACCCAAACCAGAAACATACAAGAGTCTGCTGAAGTTTTACATTGTTTTCTTTGTTTGTTCAATCATGGTTTTGTTCCTTCAGTACACAGATCAGGTGATTCCGTATCCATCACAGAGTACACCCCCGATGTCACCTTTACCAGGTATATCCCCTGACTTTGTCTCACCATATTAAAGCTTCTCTTGAGTTATCTGTGTTTGAAAAAGTTGAGTTAAACAACTGTTTCCGTGTTAAATTAAATGTATCAATGTATTCGTTTGATAGGGGCGAAAGCACTGCAAACGTAACGTTCGATGAGTTTGTTGAATATGCTTTTTCGTCCTGCCTAATACTGTTCTCATTCTGAAAGGACGGTAGAACTGATAATTATGCTCATTTCAGAATCTATTTACTCAACATTTTCCACTTTCCTCCAACTTTGTTCTGTCCACGCAAGTTTCCTTTCTTCGTTTTCTTTAAAATGAAAGCTACGGATGTAGCCGACTGCTCGATCACCATGTTGACGCTTGGAAATATTCAACATCCTGGGGATTCTTGTAAATGTAGTTTACAAGTCAAATGTACTTTATTTCAGTCAATCCAAGTATCGGCAAACAAATATATGCAAATTTTTGAACATTTTATGAATAGAATTTAAATTACCTTATGCATCCTTCCACAAGTCTACACGTTCTACATGTCCCATGTCAGCCTTTTGTATCTCTCCAATTATTTGCCCAATTCTGGGACAACTAAATGCAATTCTATACA